GTTAACGGTAACTAGCTAAATATGCTATATTATGACTTAATTTGACAGTTTACTCGTTTAAGGCGCTTGAATGAAGGTTTTTTTTTTTTTTTTTTCCATTTAATTTAAAGAACTCAATTATACTATTTTACTGACTTAAGGGCCGGTTTATTTGGCAATTTTTTCCTAGAAAAAAAAAAGTCAAAATGTATACATTTAAAAGATTTTAACGAGATATTTTTAATAATATACTTTTTTATACATTAATTTTACTTATATACAAAGAGAATAATACATTTAAGTGAGAATTGATCAATTAGTGTCATTTTAATAAACTTTTAGTATTATTATAATCAATCTGACTCATATTTGATCAATTTGAATCTTTCTTTTAATAAGCTTATCATATTATTATAATTTATCTGAGTTCATGATGCAATGTGATACACGATATAATTTGTCCAATTAAAGTGGATGGGCCATGTCGAGACAAGTTGTTGTCGTGCACAACTCGTCTTGGACTCTTGCTATCTGCATTCTTCCAAACATCACTTTCAAATTAAATTCACATTGAATTTCTCAGGTTGTAGGTATATATATACAACACATAGAAAAAAAAAAACATTATTCTAAAACTAGGACCACAACTTAGATCTCAATATATCAGGAAAAAATTCTTTTCATTTTTATCCCAATACAATATAATATATATATAAGTAATAAATGTGTAGCTAACAATCAAATTAGGTTTTTAATTGAGTTTGTACGAGCTTAGCTCACTGGTTCAGTATGAAGTATTTAGGAGAAGAGATCAAGGTTCGAACCTTGACAGTCACAGTGTGGGAATTATCTTCAAAGTGGACAGATCTCTTGTGCGCACCAGTATTTGGCCCTATCTGAGTCATTGAAATGATACCGAGATACCGATTTACATCTTCCCAAATGTTCTATTAGGTCGATGTGTGGCCTGGACGGTCCTTGAAGTTGGGAATTCAACCTTTTTAAAAAAGGTTTTTAATCGAGATGTAACGCACCTATAAAAAATAATCAACATGCACATGTAACGGGATGTTCATGAATATAATATATAAAAATAATATTGTGTGGACCAATTATCAATTTAGACATTTAGTTAAGACTGAACACATACTTCAATTATCTCTCATTTTATTTTGACAATTTTATTTAGTAATTTAATATATTCGACATTCATCATTTAAAATCATTTTAGTTGAATTGTACTCCGCATTCATTATTGCATTAAAGAAAATAACATGTTATAAATAGATAATGAAAAGCCACTTGTGGAACAGTAGTTAGTAAATGAGGATTTCAAGTTCCAATTAATTCCAGTACTCTCACTAAATTAAAGTTTCTGTGTGGCAATTAGTGGTTAGTAAATTGATTAATTAGCAGATAGTGGATACTGGATTGTTGTTAGTGGTTTTAATAAAGTTGCACATTCGCTACCAGCTATAGTTTGTAGCGTAAGTGGTAAGTGTTTGATCTTAATAAGTAGTATTAGAGCACATACTATTGAGATATCCAATTCAAGTATGAAATTTGAGGTATATATCAAAGTTTGAAGGTAACATGGAATTTCGAGTTATACAGTCTAGGGTTAAGGATTTGTTGACACAACTGGATTTTTTGAAAACTTTGAAGGCGGAAAAACCAGCTAATCTTGGAGAGGCTTATTAGGGGATTTGAAGGAACGCGGCAGGCAGGAACCATTCGGTTATGCCTTGGTGATGAAATTTTGTATCACGTTATTGCCCTCCAAACTCCAAAAGAAATTTGGGATAAATTGAAAACTCAGTTCATGGAAAAATCTCTTGCATGAGGGTTCAGACTTCGTGCATATTAATATCTTCAGCCAGATAATCTCAAATCTAGTTATTAGACTTGACGTCAAGATTGATGATGAAGACAAAGCGATGATCTTGCTATGTTCACTTCCTCATTCCTTTGAACATTCAGTGACTACTCTTACATATGGGAAAGACATGCTTAAATACAATGAGATCTCTGCAATGTGGATGTTCTTGTCGCACCTAATACAACCGTCAAAGGTTTATTTTGTATGTATTGAACACAAGAAGTGCAGATGCCGATCGATGTTGTAGACGTACTCTTCCTATATATTAATTTTATATATACTTAACAGTAAACTAGATATTATAACAAAATAATTATAAATAACTTTAATCAAGTTTTATTAATCATATTTGATACATAAAATGAGATCGAATATGATACATAAAATGAGACCTATATAGATGAAATAAATCTTGGTAGGGCATCCTTTGATCTGCAGGTTAAAGCATATGAGCAGTCAAGTGAAATAATAAGGGGTACCTGCACGTGGTATAGCACGTATGAGGGTGCACCAAAATTCAACGTTAAATTATTATGAGTACCTGACATAATTATTGAACAAGTACAGTCGGCTATGTTATGTATGAACTATGAAGAATTCCATCCACTGAGATATGATTGTCTCTTGAGATATCATGTTACTTTTTTTGTTTTGTTTTGTTTTGTTTTTTGTTTTTTTTTTCTCTTTTAATTGTTTAAATTGATGAATTAATTACTTGTGATACCAATTACCAACTAATGTGATATTTCGAAAATATATAATCATATCGACGGTCCTGCACCCATTAAGCTCGTTTGGTTGGAGGTAATTAGAATTTCATTCTCACTTAAATCCGAAGGTAAGTAATAAATTAAATTTCTTTGTTTGGTTGGAGGGAATGACAATTCTCTTATTTCATAAAATTAGAATCCCATGTCTCCCCTGCTATTTTCAATTCGGCGATTTTTGAAAAGAAAAAAGATATCATTGAGACAAAATTAACCTTTCCTTTTCTAACCTAAAATTAACGTTTCATTTGTTTGATATATGCCCTGTTTGGTAAAATAGTTATTAGCCTATAGGCCAATTTTGGTTTATTTGACCACTATTAGTTGTTTGACTTGGTTTAAAAATCAATATAAATGTTTGGTTAATTAGCTTTTTATACTCAAAAATGCTAAAATTCAAAACACTACTCAAAACAACTTTTTCAATTAGTTTAGAAAATGAATTATACCAAACAGTTATCAGCTAATTTACCAAACACCTTTCTACAATCAGCTAATGTTATTAACTAATTATACCTTTTAATTAACCCAATCAGCTAACATCTAACAACTATTACCGAATAGGGCCATAATAAGTATGCACATTTTGATCTTTATACCGCTTATTCACATTCACTTCCCCCATTAATATCAAACACTAGAATTGAAATTTTTAATAATTTTATTCATATAAATCAAACACATAAATTTAAATTCTTACTCTATTTCACCCTCTAGAATTGCAATTCCCTCACTGCAATCAAATGTCCCATTTTAATGTTTTTTGTTTTCTTCAAACCTTAAGGTGGAATTGAAATTTCTAAATGGAATTATTCAAGACTGACATTTATGGAGTTTAAAAATGGTACTATGTCGTCCTTTAGACAAGAAACTTTGACCTTATTAGCGTATGTGTTGGAAATCTGTGGTCAAGAAACATTTTCAAAGGACAGTAATTTATGTTGTAGGGCTGCTGCCCACGACAACATAATTGAGACCTACATTTATCTAAAAATTGACATCAATAAAGAGTTTGTCTTAGACTCTTTTCTTCACCAATAGGCTTCATGAATTTCATACAACAATTTTGACAACCATGTCAAAGCCAGTATGTAGTTATAACAAAAATTAATGTTCAAGATTGTCCTCTACGATAACTCATTATTTTACCGATGACTTATTCATTCAAAATTTTTGATTCGACGACTTGTATTGGTGTCAGTGTTACCAATCCCTTTTGATTGGTGGTCGCTAATATCGATGTATATTTTTTCTGATCTCTAAAGTAGTCGGTGCGTAACTGACTTGTAACTGTTAGCTTTTGATTTCCGACTACTTTCATTAAAGATAATAAAGAACAAGGAAATTGTTGAATTCGAGACAACTTATATAGAATTTCAAATATATATAATAGGATTACAATACCAGAAAATTCCTTGATTCTATAAAACTAGTTTGTCTCCCTGAATGTAGCTTTGTACATATAGATTTGCAGTTTGACACACTCAATACATAAAAGATTAACTGCAGCTTTTTGACAGTGAAGTCAATAGATTAAACTAAAACATATGGGTAAATAATATATTTCAAAATTATATAATTAATGAAATTAAAATGCCAGTATAATAGTATTTCATTTCCAGCAATTTAACTAGTTGCTGTTCTTCAAAATGAATTAATCCTTGCAATTAATGTGTGTGTTAAAGGGGCACAACCAAAACTCCATTTTAATGTCTTCAAGCATTTTATAGACCGACGTTGAATTCCTTTAATGACTCTCTTTGTCAGAATCAAACGCTTAATTACCACTATGTTAACATACACTACATCAAAAGTTATATATAGCTAGTGGGATTATTCGACCTGCTTTGATATTAATTGTCATAATCAAACGTTTACCACTACACAACTGTCAAAAACTATAACTAATAGCGAAAATGCAACTTTATTTTCTAATTCTTACGTAACAGTCAACCACGTTCGATGACAGGTGGCCGGACTCAGCCCTCGATGTCGTTTAGGATTTTTTTCTCCTTCAATACATGCCCATTTTTATGATAGAATAAATCTAATGTATGCTTCATTGATACAAGTTCAGATAAATCTACCATGTTAAACTTCCAAACCAAGAAATGGATTAACTAGGTTCAATCATGCAAACTTAAAATTGATTAAATTGGTTGATTTACCCTTAGAATTCTTTATTTTATATTTCGACTACCCTTATAAAAAGTTATATCCTAGGGTAAAATGTCACTATATATAATGGCATATCCTTTAATCTCTCCAATGGCTCATTTGTCACTTAGTATTCTAAGAATTATTACAATAGAAAATTGATTTAAAGCATAAGTGAAAAAGTTTTGATTTTTCAAATATATATAATTGTCCTCATTCCAACATGAAAGCAAGAAAAAGTTCCACAAGCGGAAAGTTCAAGACTCTCCGTAACCCTAGTATCTGCTACTGGTATACAATAGTTGCAAAAAGCTCTTTAATAAATGTGCAGTTCTGTACTTAGTGCAATAATTCAAGAACATAGGATACTATATATAGTTGCCCATAAAAATATAGGACAATCCATACATTTTAATCATATGCATTAACCCAAACTATACGGGTTGTAGGAGATTTGTCTTTCTTGATCCAAAGGCTGCCGGAATTGAAAACTCGTGGCATCGAAATAAAGGGTAGTACTAGGATTAATACCTGGAAATGGAGCCAATAATCCATCTGTATAAGCGCTGATTCCGGCGCCGGAGCCAGCGCCGGCGAGATCCCAATTCCCAAGAAAACCCATGAAGCTTTCACTATTATGTTCTTGATAATTCTCCATGATCCCAACACTACTAGAGAATTGGTTTTCGAACCCTAATGGGACATTATTGCTCCTAATTTCTTCTTCTCCCAAATACTGCTTACTAATGAACCGAGTTAAGTCCGTGCATATATTATTGCTCCTGATTTCTTCTTCTCCCAGATACGACTTACTGAACCACTGAGCAAAGTCTGTGCAGGGATTGTTGCTCCTGATTTCTTCTTCTTTCAAATACTGCGTACTACTGAACCATTGAGCTAAGTCCGTGCATGTATTATTGCTCCTAATTTCTTCTTCTCCCAGATGCGACTTACTGAACCACTGAGCTGAGTCTGTGCAGGGATTATTGCTCCTGATTTCTTCTTCTTTCAAATACTGCCTACTGAACGGCTGAGTTAAGTCTGTGCATGGATTATTGCTCTTAATTTCTTGACAACATGATTCTTCAAGAAAAGGGCTGTTGCTTGAAGATCCCAATTGCTCAAAACTACTAGTGCTTGAATTTTCCAGACCTCTTATCATCATCATCATCATCTTCTTTTTCTTCTTCTCCATTGTTCTTTCCCTAGCCCTAGCTCTGGCTTCTTGTCGTGACTCCTTTGTGGCCGTGCTGATTGATCCCACTTCTTCATATTCATCGCTGCTTGAGAAGCCGGCGGCGTTGATGTTCTTGGTTCTCATGAGGTCTTTGATGGCGTTCTTGGATTTGGAGAACAGCCACTCTATGGTCTTGCTGGCCTTGTCGAACCCTAGCGTGTCTTGGAGATCGAAGAACTTTCGAGCGATTTGCAGGGAGAGTCTCATTCGCCGATCCCTCACCCCTCGCGCCGTGCATATCTTGCTGTGCCGGTCCTTCTTCTTGCCGGGGTTTCTCTTCCGGCCGCCGCCGCCGCCCTTCTTAGTCTTGCCGCCCCGGCCGGCTTGGTTGTCTCCGGCGGCGGCGTCGTGGGTTCCATGCTGCGGCGGCTGGGAGAACACTTGGCTCAACGGGGAGTCGTCGGTGTCGTCGAGAAACGGGGAGGGGAAGTGGAGGTGAAAGGGAGGTGGTTGGTGATCTAAATCATGGTGTGTTGAGCTAGGGTTTTGGGGATGATCATAGGGGAGAGGGAAAGGGTTTTCATGATTGGTGGGAAACATAAATGTGGGCTTCAAAATTGCACATAAAATGGAAATTTTGAATAACTTTTTGGGGTTTCTCACAAATAGGGCTAGCTAGCTTTGAGCTGTGGCTACATATATAGGCCTTGACTTGTAACTACGGCGGTGGCCGGTGGCCGGTGGCGGGTGGCGGAGGTGCATTCGTGGTGGTGGAGGTGGAGGAGTAGGAGAAAGGAGTCCTAGGGTGGTGGTGGAGCTATCTAGCTTGATGGAACATACGAAGAACTAGGATCATCCCACTATTTGAAAAGTTTAGCCTATTTATATTGAAAAATTTCACCACTATTTGCTAGCATTATTTATTGTATGAATTAAATTCTACCTAGTTATGTCAAATAATGCCCGGATAAAATAATGAAGTATTGTCAAATCAAGTGTTTATTATTACTATGTCAAAAGTTATAGTTAATTTTGATAGTATGATACTGTGAAATTACTGATTCAGTAGATAATATTTGGGAAAAGAGACCAAGGTTTGAATCTCGGTAGTAACAATCTGGGGATTATGTCAAAGTGGGCAAATCCCGCACATCGACATTTAGCCCTGTTTGCTGAGCCATTGAGTCACCGTGATTTACATTCTCCCAAATGCTTTGTCGAGGCGGGGTTGTGGATTCAACCTTTATAGGAGAAGAGATTTGGCTTCCAGCAAAGTGGGAAGCACTCCCGCATAATCTTTGCACCAATGAATTGATTACGTGAAATTGCGACAATCGGTTTTTCCGTCGCGAAAATATTAAATTTTAAGTAAACATTTTTTTTTTTTTTTTTTTGCTACAAAATGGGACAACAAAATCAATTTTGTCGCCAGTATATAGGCTACGGATCCCGTGAGAACAATACCATAGGAGAGAAATAAGAATCAATCTCGCCTTACATCTGTAAAGATTCAATGGATCTGATTAGATTTTAAAAAAAAAACGCGATGGCATTTTCGTAATTATCATCAAACTTCACTATGCAAACTTTAACACTTAAATATGTAGTCATTGTAATTGAACAAGCTAAGGAAAAAATGAAATTAATTAGGGAAAATATAGTTAAATAAGTATAAATAATCTTCCCCATGCATTTTTCCCTGCATCAGAAACCAAAGGACTCCATGGCATACATGTTTGAAGGATGGTGGCCTGGTCCTGGTGCATGCATGAGGATAAACCTAAAGATGACACCATGTCACGTGGGAGCAGGTGAGACATTGATGGTAACTGGACCTGCCTGTTCTTGATCCATACAGGGGCACTGAATCAACTCAAAGACTTGAAGAAGAAAATCAGGGCACAAGCAAGGCCCTTTTGTCATTCTCACATATTCCTAGACCTAGGCGGCTGAGTAATTCGAGCATATTATTTTCACTTTTCCCAGTACTCGAGAGTTGTTGGACTGTAATTGTAATCACTAAACTAGTCAAGCATATGTTAGATGGTTATTAGTTGAGTATTAGAGAAATATAAAAGAGGAGTAGCCGAGCAGGTAAAAAAAAAAAATATCACTTGCCCAAGTTGGACACCAACTAATAAAAGTCACCTAGGGTTGAAATTATCTCGGTCTAGGAACGGCTAGGCCAATTTTTACAACACTGATTTTTAGTAAACTTGGGATTAATGGTTATTTTTACAACACTGATTATCTCGGTCTAGGGACGCCTAGGTCAATTTTTACAACATTGATGTTCTTAGTTAATGGTTATTTTGTGGTTGCAGCTTGGCAATGCCCTTTTTTTTTTTTTTTTTTTTTTGTTTAGATTAGATTTAGTTTTCTTTTAAGTCTAATTTATCTAAGCGTTAACAAAATTGTGCCTTTATTACTTAGACCGTTGTTGATTTTTGATGGGATTCTCTTGAACTTGAGACCTACTCTCCGTGACTTATACATACATATTATTGGTTTTGATTTAATAGATTATTGAAGGTTTTTTGACAAAAAAAAAAAAAAAAATTGCCAGGTGATTTTTTTTTTCTTTCATTATAGGGAGTGGGTGAATATAGGAATATAGGAGCTGGCCTCTGCAGAACCTAAGATCTAAGAACTAAAGTACAATTATTATTTTGCCATTTCCCTATTTGCGACCAAGATTTTTTACCCTTTTTTCTTCTTTTGTTCCTGAAAAGTTGATGTCTATATCTTTTGGTTTAAAAAAATTTTAGAATTAAAATTTTAGCTACATGACATGTTTGAGAGAGTAATGTGATCGATCAAATATATATATATGGTCATTGTATACTAAATATTACAAAAATAATACATTATAAATGTAAAACTAACTTAATAGGTATAGGACCAAAGAAATTAACTATTGTTGACAGTTATAACATTCCTTAAATCAACCGTGTTAAATATTTATAAATAATTATGGTCCTTTTGATAAAATAGTTAGCCTATCAGTTAATTTTGACTTGTTTGACCATTATTAATTGTTTGACGTGGTTACACAATCAATATGAATATTTGATTAATTAGTTTTTTGTAACAACTTATTGTTCCAAAACACTAAAATTCAAAAAGTTATTCAAAACAGTTTTTTTCGATTAGTTTTTTGAAAAAGTCATTTTATATGAAATCAGCTATCAACTAATATTATCAACTAGTCAAATCCACTAACCCAATCAGTTAACAGCTATTACCAAATACCCGTATATGTTAATGATATATTTCAAACTCATACATGTAGAAAGTAAAAATTGAATTTATAGGTTGGCTTATCCAATAGTGAGAGAATTCTTCTGCTTTCTAGCTAAAAAATAAAACATTGCATGTTTTTATATTTTATACTTCATAGTACAAAAATAAATATATACATGCACTTTACTTATAATTACCAATCAATTTATGTCTCCTATCTAATTACTACCGGTCATTATTTACCTGCCCATTCAACACTACATACCGAATTACTCACTCATCATTATCTGTCTACTCATCTATAGATATCGAACCTGTGACTCTTTCAATGTTGTTTAATCACAAAGTCTTTGACATACATACTAGCTCTTATTTATATACACATCTTATTACTAATTAATTTTTATTTTAAATACATAAGTATTAATTACGACTTACGCCAGATTAATCCTACCTCGATCTAGTTCTCTGCCCCAAGAGCCACTAGAGGATGTAAATCCAAATCGCATGAGCAGACTTTTAATCAATCTCCTACCTTACTATGCGCACAAAGAACCTAACTCATACCCTACTCGGCTACTCCAATCTAGGGAGCCCAACTCCAATGATGTTTGAACTAGGACAAGAACCCTGCCTTACCGCATTGAGCCGTGATTTTGAAGTCGGGTAATCAATCACTATGCTAGTCTCAGGACTATCACCATTTAAATATCAACCAACACTGTATGTAGTGTGATGACACCTCCCTTAGCCTTTCAAATGAGTGGTCACATGTTCGAACTCCGGTAGTGGGACATTGATTCTTGGAGCTCAAAAAACATTGAGAAAGTTCAGTACCATCACACTACATAATAGTTGGTAATAATTTTGTATTTTAAGAATTGGAAAATAATTAAATTTAAAATAAAAAGGAAACATGCTTTAATTATCATTATTTTTTTTAATAAAGAAAATGTCTCTTTGTATAGGCAATAGGGTAGAGCTCAGCTCGTAAGCCGCAAGGCCATACTAAAACTAGCGATTGCTTGCTAGTTGCTACATCCAACCTTACATATTTGAATTCTCCAAAAAATTCAAAATTTCTTCTCCTTTTGACTGTTTGTTTACATGTCATTTTCACTTCAAAAGAGTACACCCCTCCCCACCCCACCCCTTTATATATATATATATATATAGCATTAAATGTTATATAAAATTTATATTTATGTTAAAATTATCAATAATTTGAGTAATTTAGTTGGTTGAACTTTAAACTTAACCTTAAAAGGTCTATCTCATTAGCAATACTTTTTCTCTCATTTATTTTATCTCTTTCATTTCGTCATAAGATAAATTAAATATTTTTTAGTATTTTAGTATACTTTTTATGAATCATTTAATTAACAAATTAAATGCTCTTTTAGTCTACATTTTATTAATCATTTAATTAATGTAGTATACAAGTTTATATTATAGTTTATTATATTCGAATTAATTTAGAAAAATCGATCTAATTAAAAGAAATTAAAATTAAAAAGTATTTATGAATATAGTGTTATTCAAATTATTTTATCTAATTGATTATGTTTCATATTTTGTCATAAATATTTTCACATCTTCACTCCCCTCAGGTATATTTCTGACTTTAATTTGACCCTAACTATCATGATCTATATAAAAAAAACATTCCATTATAATTTATAATATATTTTGTATTTTGACATTATTATGTCTGATTGATATTTCTAACGTCATTTAACCTTTACCCCCACTCGGATGATTTTCTGGATCTGTCCCTATGGATGGGGTCATTGGGGAGTCGTCCAATTATCTACACATCACTTGAGAATGGCTTGCGAAGTTGCGATTGATTTGTGTAAGATATAAAAATAGAATAAATTTCACTTTTCGTCTTTTGACTATTGTACAATTATCAAATTTGATCTTTAACTATTACAGAGTAATATTACACTTTTGGTCCTGTGACTATAGAGGGTGTGTTAATTTGGGTACGTGACTTTTAAAACTAACAATTTAGTCCTTTAACTATCATTTTTTAGCAGATTTGGTCCTCCCGGCCAAATTGCCGGTGGAATTTGACCGGAAAGACGTTCAATTTTTTAAATCAAATATTGGTGGGGGTAATTCGGTCTTTTTAATTGTTGAACCGAATTACCCCCACCAATATTTGATTTAAAAATTTGAACGTCTTTCCGGCCAAATTCCACCGGAATTTGGCCGGAAGGACCAAATCTGCTAAAAAAATGATAATTAAAGGACTAAATTATTAACTTTAAAAGTCACGTACCCAAATTAACACATCCCCTATAGTCACAGGACCAAAAGTGTAATTTGCTCTATTTTCAAATTAGGTGCATGATATTAGCCTCAGGCTTCTCAAATAACAGTGTAATTTATTTATTTATTTTTATTTTTTTTATAAATTAAATAAGATGGAGGGTGTTTTGGGAAAGGGAATTTCCTTTCCCAAAATGCTAACCCAACACGCAGCTAAATGCAACGTGTTGAATTTTAGCGGTTTGGAGCAATCCACTCCTCCAAACCACTATTAACCAAACAATGACTTTGGCGTTTTGACTATAGTCAAAACGCCAAAATCAGCG